ATGATGAAAATGTAATGAAATTAAAAATAATGAAAGGCGAATATGAGATGGAGGAATTTTTGTCAGATGGTAATAAATCTATATTTTATTTATTAATTATTATTTTTGGGAATCGTTATTGCCACCCCCTATTTTTGCTTATGCCACCCCTTGCATAACTTGCATAATTGCATAATTTGATTGGCATCCAACATTCCTAACTCTAATTATTGATTAGGGTTAGATTATATGAGAGGGTGGCATTAGCAAAAATAGGGGTGGCAATAGCAATACCCTTATTTTTTTTGGTAATTAAAAAAAAAAAAAGCATTAATCATTATATTAATCATTATTTCATTTTTACGATTGTGTTATATAATTTATTAATATCAGAGGCTAAAGACCTTATAAAATCCATATTACAACTTGAACCAAAAGAACGACCAACATTAAAACAGATTTTACAACATGCATGGTTTACGGTAAAAGACGACGATGATGATGATGACGATGATGATGACCAGTGGGATACATATGAGGACGTAGATGATGATGAATCTCTATCATCTATCGAAGAGAAAAATGAAAAGGAACCTATAAAACAAGCAACAATAGTACAATCGGGAAATAATAACGACGCAATTGGGCATCTTGAACGTCAACGACAAGAAATTTTTTTATTAAAACAAAAACAAGATGCACAAAATTATTATCCACCGGGATTTATTCGCAACAAAGGGGGTGATGTAGCATCAATAGCACCTTCTGCATTTCAAACACGATTAACAGGAATGACAACTGCGATAGATAGTTGTTCTACATCGCGGAAAACTTTTGGTCCTTCAACTTCAAAATCATCTCGAAGATCCTCGATTGATAGTAAGACTTTTAATGAAAAGATTTTTTTTACAACTCCTGAAGAAAAAGAATTATTAGATAAACTAGAAGGCTTAGGTTTTGATGTCCAAGCTATAAAATCTAGTGTTTTAGAAGGCAAAGTAGACTCTGCTAGTGGACTTTGGTGGCTTTTATTAACAAAACTAAGAGAAAAAATAAGGATTGAAGGTGCACCAAGTTCAGTAACAATGGTAGACGTTGCTGTTGGTACTAGTGATGATGAATTAGAAATTGCAGATGATATTGAGGAAGAACCTGATAGCATGGACTCGCCTGTAGATAGTAACATGTCATCTCAGGAAGATGATTGTAATAAAATAATAGCTGAAAATTCTATGAAAGTTCCGGAAAAGATGTTACCACCTACACCACCACCTAAAACATATCATACAGCTCCAGCTTCGCGTGAAAGACGAAAATCTTTAATCCTTTCACTGCCGGAAGCAGTTGAACCTGTTTTGACAGCTATTACTGCTACAGCATCGCCTCCTTTGTCAC